TTTTTTTTGGCGGGAGGCCCAGATTCCATTCAAATGGACTTACACATGATGGCTCAGCCTTTCTAACAACACTGAAGTTATCCCCATTTATAATGAGGAAACTGAGGCACCGACAGATTAACTTGCCCAAAGTTTCACAGCTAATAAGTGACTTAACCAAGTCTTTCACTCCTGCATTAAGTCCAGATTCACACATCCCACCTCCCCCACCAGTACTCAGGATTGAATACAGGGCCTCGCACATGCTACGCAAATTCTACCGTTGAGCTACTTCCTCAGCCCTTTTAAAAATTCAATTTTGAGACAGGAATTTGCTAAACTGTGCAGGTTGGTCTTGAACTTGTAATCCTCCTGCCTCAGCCTCTCAAGTAGTTAGGATTACAGCCATGCACCATCAGGCCTGACTCAGATTACTCTCTGTTTTTCCCACTGTTTAAAATCAGTGCATACTTGATTAACGAGTTGCATTCTGGCAGATGTATACATGCACCTGGCATACTTTAATCATCCCCACTCCTTGTTTCACACTCTTCTGAGCTAGTTCAATGTGTATAATGTATTTTGATCACATTTATGCCCCCTATTAGATCACCCACTCTTCCTCTCTAAATTTAGTCCTCCTCTCCTAAAGTTTATTATCATGTGACTGAGGATATCTGACAATATACAAACGCTTAAGATGGGGTTATAACTAAAGACAAAAACAAACTTAAATTCTAGTATAACTAGATTAACAAAAATTAGCTATTGTGATTAATAATAATACATAATAACTATTTATTCAGTTATATTATGTGCCAGGCTCAAAAATACGTGTTTCGTGTAACTATTTCATTAAATATCTCCGTGTTCCTACAAGTAGCTACTGTTATTCCCATTGGGTAAAATAAGAAAATTGCATTTGAGTGTAACTTGCCCAGGGTCATTTAGCTAGCCCCAGAGGTGGTATGAGACTCAGGTCTAGGGGACTATAAAGCTTGAGCTGTCCCTCAGACCTGGGTAACGTACTATTATAAGCTCTCTCGATTACTATTTCAGCCTCTCTGGTATCTTGATTCAGGGAAAGGTAACCTGGTTGGCAGGGAGGAATACTCTGGTCTGGTCACAGGGAACTTATAAATTATAAGGGAATCCATTATAAATTAATGAATTTGCTTAACAAGTTAGCCCTTGAAAGCCTAAGCACCTCTGGGCACTGAAAAGGAGTTTCTATACTTCATTCTTTTTTTCTCAGTCAGGATTTTGCTATGTAGGGCAGGTTGACCTCAAACTCTTGATCCTCCTGCCTCAGTCTTCCAAGTGCTGGGACTATAGCCATGCACCATTAAATTATACTACATTTTTTAATTCAACAAGTATTTATTAATAACCTACTATGTGCCCAGCCACTGGAAATATAGAAGAGAACAAGATGGACAAAGAGTTCACTTAGTACCGTAATAAGCAAGATCATTTTTCATAATGTTACATACTTTGAAGATAGTAAAACAGAGTGTTAATGATATAGAGTAACTGTGGGGGCTAGGGCTTTATCTCAGTAGTAGAGTAGTTGCCTAGGATGCAACAGGCCCTGGGTTCCATCCACAGCACCACACACACACATACAAAGTAACTGGAAATTAGTAAAAGGTCTGTGTGAGGAGGTGGCATCTGAGTTGAGACCAGACATGAGGAGCCACTTATGACACCCTGGAGAGGGGCACATCAGGCAAAGAGAACAGCCAACACAAGGGAGGGGGAACAAGACTGATGAGACTGGCATGTCTACAGGACTGAAAGGCAGCCATTATGGCCAAACAAGGTGGGACAAGAAGCACAATGGAAGCTGAACAACGTGGGGCAAAAGGCACAGTGGAAGCTGAGATTGAGAGCTGGGTATGAGCCTTGCAGGCATGGATGTGGTTTGGATTTTACTCTAAGTATAACTGGAAAGCAGTGCAGGGTTTTCATCAGGACAGTAATATTCTGACCAAACTCTAAACCATTTTGATTCTACCAAGGCATCACCATTTCAAATACAGCTTCCCTCTAATGTCATTTTCTTGTAATGTGTAACTTCAACAGAAAGATTTACAGAGCCAGACAGCAGTAATGGTCCATTCTATCTTGCTAAGTCATAATCTCTCCTTTACAGAATTCTACAGATGTCTGTCAATTATCACTTACAATACAGTATCCCAATTGCAATGAAATCAATCAGTATAATTTGGATTCTTATAAAAATGCTGGAATATTACGGTTTATGTTTGATAAATGAAGAAAACAGTCTATCTTCTACAAAGTCAACAGCAGAATCAGGAAAGGAATTCTCTTTATATCTTTTTAACACAATTGGCCTATTTTAATTTCTCTGAAAGAAAAAAAACCAAGAAAAACACAGAGGCTTACCTTCTTTCTATCATCCTTTCTGTCAAACGCACACTGCTGTTTGCACTGTTCACAAGAATATGGTGGTCCATACTTCTTCTCTGAATTTGTGCAGCGTTGGCATTTATTGCCTATAAATGCTGCAATTATGTTGCAATACTGACAAGGTTTGGGCTTAAAGAGGGAAAAAAAGGACAAGTAAAGACATTATAAAATAGCTGTACATTTTTAAAAACAATTTCTATTGTGTAGTCCATTGTTCATGGTAAAAATACATTGCTGGCTGGGGATTTAGCTCAGTGGTTCTGCTGCCTGCCTCCAAAGTGCAAGGTCCCAAGTTCAATCCCCAATACCAAAAAACCCCCCCCAAAATCATAAATTTGCTTTTATATTGATCAAATGAAGCCCCCCCCCCTTTTCTAGACAAGTTCTCGCTACGTAGCCCCGGCTGGCCTCAAACTCGCAGCAATCCTCTGTGCCACCATGCCCAGCTACCTCCAAATTTCTGAAAAGCCCTATTTGGCTCTATCAGTGTATTTACATGTCAGAACTGCAAGGACACAGCGTCCTGAACCCTAACAGTAAGAGGAAAAAAAAATCATTCATCAAAATAAATAGACAACTGTTACCAAACAGAGAGGTCATGATTCTTCTTTCCCCTCTTCTTTTAACTCTGGCCACTGAAGCCACTTGAAGAAAATTATAATCATAATCCCAGCAGAGTGACTATAATATAATCACAGAACTCCATAATAATAAGTATTAACTAAGTCTGAAAGCTGAGAAACTGGAAATATTGACATCATATTCTAATAAAAATATTCTACTGACGTTAATAGTCCATAGAAGACAAGGTGCCAAGAGAACCAAGTACTCACTGTTAGATACAAAGAAATCCAACTTACCGTTCCATACAACTGTACATTCTGAGCACATTTCTTGCATATCGTATTGGTTTTACTGTTAAAGAAGAAAAAGAGACACAAAGATTTGCTTAGAACATCTGAAAATTCATTTCTCCTTAAGCCCAAGGAACTTGTTCATTAGTGAAATATGGACTGGATACTTGGTTAATTCAAGTCTGAGTATCTGGTCAACAATTCTTTTAATTATTATGTGATTATTTATTTTGTTATTCCAAATAAAATAAGGCTTTAGTTAAAATAGCGAGTTATTTCTGATTATGACATTTTGTAAAATGTCCCTGTGTAAAATTATCAGATATGGAGAAGACCCTCAAAAGTATCATGTTAGACTGAAATGGACTAGAAGAAAAGAAATTAATCTCCTTGCTGGGCATGGTAGAGCTCATCTGTAACCCCAGGACTTGGGAGGCTGAGGCAGGAGGACTACCAAGAGTTCAAGGCCAGCCTGTGCTACATAGTGAATTCAACATGTGGTGATGCCAGACATAAAGCACTGAGCCTACCATGGGAGCATGACAAGGGCTGCAGATATCTTTTCAAAGGAGCTCTGAGCCTGAGGATTAGACACATGAACCAGGCTCACTCTCCCATGCTGAAAAAATTTATAAACAAGAAGTTATCATTGAAATTAAATGGTGACAGATATGTCCAAAGAATATTGCAAGGATTTGATCCCTTTATGAATCTTATGACGGATGAATGTGTGGTAACTAGCGGGCAACAGAACAATGTTGGAATGGTGGTAATACAAGGAAACAGTATCATTTTGGAAGCCCTGGAACGAGTTTAAATAATGACTGTTCAGCAGAGAAATCCATCCCCTTCTTCAAAGCACTAGTTTCACTATGATGGCAAATTGGGTCATATACATTTTCATATTAAATTTTTTGTTAAATAAACTTTTGTAATAGTCAAAAAAATATTTTTCACAGCATTTTTCAGCCATTTTTAAAAAGTGGTACAAGAAGTGAAGTACAGAAGCTGGGAATGTAGCTCAATATCAATTTGCTTACCATACATAAGGCCCTGAGTTCAATCTCCAGCATCAAGCAGAAAAAAGATCTCTAGAAAGAGGATTAGTATCAGTTATTCTGTGATGCTGAATAGTATTTAGATTTATACCTGGCTTTGCTACCGAAGGAATGAGGCATATGTTAATATACACCTGACATCTTAGAAAACGTACAAAGAAAAATAATCACTAGGATTCACCTGCATTTTTTTTTTTGGTACTGGAGATCGAACTCAGGTCCTCGCATTTGTGGGACAGGCGGCTCGCCTCCATTTTTGTGTAGTGTAAATTAAGAGCCAGAGCTCATGACTGGCTCAGTGACACACATGTAATCCTAGCAACTTGAGAGGCTGAGTCAGGAGGACTGCAAGTTAGAGGCCAGCCTGGACAACTTAATGAGACTCTGACTCAAAAAAAAAAAGGGGCTAGGACTGGGGATTTAGCTCAGTGGTTCCGCCGCCTGCCTCGAAAGCGCAAGGTCTTGAGTTCAATCCACTCCCCAGTACCAAGAAAAAAGGGGGGGGGGGGGGCTAAAGATACAGCCCCATGCTAGAGCATCTGCCTAGTACTTGTGAGGCCTTGGGCTCAATCTCTAGTACTACTAAAAAAGGAAAGTCAAAGCTCCTAGCTCACCCCCTACCACACTAATTAATTCAAGATGGATCATAGGGCTAAATGCAAAAGTAAAACACAGAGCTTCTGGGCTGGGGATTTAGCTCAATGGTTCCACCGCCTGCCTCCCAAGCTAAGGACCCGAGTTCAATCTCCGGTACCAAAAAAAAAAACCACAAAGCTTCTAATTATATTCTGTATAATTCCATTTGTATGAAGTTCAAGAACAGGCAAAACTAATCAATGGTAGAAATGACAATCAGAATGGTGGTTGCCTAGAGGGAGAAAGGAGAGTAGAGACTGATGGGGATGGAAGATGAGAGGGCTCTAGAATGATGGTCACATTCTGTATTCTGATAGGATTTGAGGTTGGGGATAGGGTCTTGCTATGTAACTCAGGCTGGTCTTGAACTCACTATGTAGCTCAGATTGGCCTCCAACTCCTGGCGATTCTCCTGCCTCAGCCTCCTGAGTGCTGGGATTACAGGTGTGTGGCATGGTGCTGGTTTATACACAAATATTACCTCAAAAAAAAAGTGTATTGATGCACACCTGTGTAACACCAGCACTCGAGAGGCTGAGGCAGGAGGATCGCTGTGTGAGGCTAGCCTGTGTTACACAGTGATTTCAAGGCCAGCCTGAACTACATTGAGAGACCCTGTCTCAAAAAAGTAAATATATAAATTAAAATAAAGAAAGAACTGGGAGGTCTGAGTGTGTAGCTCAGGGGTAGAGTGCATAGTATGCACAAGGCCCTAGGTTCAGGTACCAGGTTCTAACCTAGCACCACAAAAAAATCTTAAATTAAAAATCTTAAAGAACCGTAAACAAATATTTAACTCTAGTAAATGATATGATGCTGAAGTGTTTAAGGATTAGGTACACTGATGTCTGCAACTTTGAAATGCATCAGAAATAGATTGATGTAGCAAATGGCAGATGAAGAGATGGGGAGATGTGAAATTATATTTAAGGCTTGAGTAGGTATACGGATGTTCACTAATTGAAACTTTTTTGTTGCTATTTGGAAAATATCCATAATAAAACTGTGGGGAAAATATTTCTAGAATTGAACTTAGGCTTATTAAAATAGATCTAGTATGGGCTGGGGATTTAGCTCAGTGGTTCTGGTTCCTACCTCGCAAGTGCAAGGTGCCAAGTTCGATCCCCGGTACCAAAAATAAAAAATTTTTAAAATTTTAAAAAATAGATCTAGTATGAGCTAGCAAAAAGACTCCACCCTGGTGAAGGCAGGATCACCTACAATTACAAAGATTTCACCAAAGTTGAACTTGCTATAGCAATAAATCACTTTGCTGCTACTGAAAATTCCCCCAATGATGTGTGTTCCCTCACACCTAAGTGTTTTCACACTTTTAAAAATGAGATTCACACAAGGAAAATGTAAAGGCAAGTGAATTTTGAATGTGACTAGAGTTAACAAACCTTTTAGGATTGTCACATTTCTAAAAAGTATCTTTTTTGGCATTAAGGGTTTCTTCAAGCTTTGTATATATCAATACTTGAGCATGGAGCCCACGTTTTACTGCTGTGGGATTTGTTGTGTAGTGTCAAAAAAATCATAACCGCAATATAAAATGATCAATTGGGCTGGGGATACAGCTCAGTGGTGCCATGCCTGCCTGGCAAGTACAAGGTTCTGAGTTCGATCCCCAGTACCAAAAAAAAAAAAAATTTTTAAGCAATCAGGGGCTGGGGAATGTACTTCAGTGGTGGAACACTGCTTAGCATATCCCAGTCACCAGAAAAAAAGTTTAAGCCATAAGCATTCAAACTGAGCTAGGTGGCAAATGCCTGTATTCTCAGGTACTCAGGAGACTGAGGCAGGGAGAGTGCAAGTCCCAGGGCCAACCTGGGCAACTTAAGAGAGATTCTGCTGGGCCGGGGATTTAGCTCAGTGGTTTCGCCGCCTGCCTGCCTGCCTGCCTGCCTGCCACGCAAGCGCAAGGACCCGAGTTCGATCCCCGGTACAAAAAAAAAAAGAGAGCGATTCTGCCTCAAAAATAAAAGGGCTGGCAGCCAGGCCTGGTGGTCCATGTTTGTAATGCCAGCACTCTAGGAGCATGAGGCAGGTGAATCACAACTGAGGCCCAGCCCAGGCAACCTAGCAAGACTCTGTCCCAAAATTTAAAAAAAGAGCTGAGGATGTAGCACAGTATGACCACTCTGGGTTTGATCTCCAGTACCACAACAAAACAAACAAACAAATGGGCTGGGCATATAGTTGAATGGGAGAGCCCACGCCGAGTATGTACAAAGTCCTGGGTTCAAGCCTCAGTACTAGAAAAAAAAAATTTAAACAATCTGTGGGCAATATCTAGGGAATAAGTGTATTATATGCCCTTTAGTGTAACAGGAAACTGAAGAATCTGTGCATAAAGTATTTGACTACAGATCTGTATTTTACAATGTAACTGATTACAGATCTTTCTATATATGAAATGCAAACAGACTGTAAGAGCCTATTACCATCTTTCATAGTCAACCAAAACTCTACCTCTCCTGCTGGTACTCAGTCCTGCAGTAGGTGCACTTCACAACAGGGTGTGCAATCCGACATTCCTGAAATGAAATGAGGATATCATTTTAAAAGGCACTCAAAAATGGAAACAGCCTTCAGTAGGAAGAATAGCTAGGTACTATCCCTAGCCCAGCCACTATGCTTGAGTGACTAACTTTCTGGGTCTTATTTTCCTCCTCTGAAATATCTGCATCACTGCCCAGCCGTTGATGTGGGAGTTAAGAAAGAATTTATGTGGAACTAGTCATAAACTGTAAAACAAACATAGGAACAATCTCCAGCTTGGGAATCAGATTCCAGTCCTGGCTCTGTTGGTGTGCTTTTGAGCAAGTTTATTTGTGAAATGAAAGTGCTAATTTATTTTTTTAAAGCTAAAAAGCACATTTAAGCACTTGCGTTCTCTTAGAGCCGGTAAACAAGAGCGGTAAAAAAAACAAGTGTGTGTTTTCTCAGACCTGGTAAAAAAGAATAGCCATGGCCCTCTGAGGCACGGTAACATACAATTAAAGAGTTACTTAAATCAGGCAAACTGGATTCTTTGAGGGTTATCCCAATATCACTTTCAGCGAGCTTGCTTTTACCTTCTATCTTACATCAACTCCACTCAAATAGGCAATGTGGGATGAAGGAACTTGAGGAAAAAGGAGAAGTTGGAACTTCAGGTATAAGAATTTGGTTAAAGCAAGGACTGAAAGCCACCAACTGGATGCTGAAAAGTCATCATTCAGATTTGTGTTCTTGGTTGGGAGGGCTCTAATAAAGCCTTGCCACCCCGTTCCTGAGACCAGCCGAAAAGTGCCCGTGAAGCATCGGAGTTCGAAACACCGGAGTTCAGTCCCAGGCGGGACAGGGTGTCGTTCCTTCCTTCGTCTGCAACATGGGCGACCGCGGCGGCAAGGAAGGCAGCTCAAACTGATTCTCGGCACTGCTGGTCAGGGGCATGCAGAGACCCGCTCTTTCCTCCCTAGACCTCACAGGGTCCAAGAACAATCCCCTGCGGTTGCTAAGCACCGGGGTACGCCGGCCGCGGGGGCTCGGACTCGGCCCAGGACTCCGCCGCGAGCCCCGCCCGCCCCCAGCGGGGCAGGTGTAGCTCCTCGGTTAGGCAGGCGGGCGAGCCACACCCAGCCAACCCGAGGGACCACCGCCGCCGTCCCTGAAGAGCCGGGAGTTCCGGGCCGCGCCTCCTGCGTCCCCAATTCCCGGCCGCCCCAGCCCGCGCACCTTGCACAGCTGCTGCCCCTGAGACAGCGCCTCGAAGGGGAAGCGCTGGTGGCACTTGGTGCAGGCGTAGAGCGCCGCCATGTCTGGCCCGGGCCGTGCTCACCGCCCTGCCGGCCCGGCCTGCTGCTTTATCTGACAGTCTGAGAGACAACCTGGTGGCAGCAGCGGGCTGCGGGCTGCGGGCTGCGGGAGGGCCTGGGCGGGCGCAGACAGGCGCGGGCGGGCCGGGGAAAACCGAGGCGGGCGCGAGGGCTCTGGAAGCCGGTTCACTGGTTCACTTTGATGTCGATCACGAAAAGGGGCGGAACACCGAGCTTTTGACTACTCTCCTTCAGTCTGGGCTTTAGTACGCCACTCTGACGCACAAGGAGATGATTATGTAAAGCTCAGTCACGCGGGGGCGCCGCCTGGAGCTAGACAGTCTCCAGACCCAGAGCCCGGTAACGCTTGAACTCCTCCCACTTCTTTCTGCGTTCCCGCCCTTGCTCCGCCCCTCCTGGGCGGTGGCCTCAATGTCGCTTCTCGCGATACTTTGGTGGAGTTGTGTTGCTCTGTTTTCCACGGAGCTGCCTTCTGGGAGGACGAGGAGTTGGATTGGACCACTGAGGGACATTGTTGAAACTGGAACTTGGCCACCTCCCAGCGTCTGAAGATGAAGAAATCCTCGGTCATCGGAGCAGGAGAAGCTCGTGAACCCATCGCATTCAAGGGAGAACAGTAAACTGAGGAGAACTCAGAAAAGTGCTTGAGACCCGCCCCAAAGGAGAGACCTCTCTAGTCATTGAGTCCCGCAGCCTGGAGGCCTGCTCAGAGTGGGATGCAGTTGTCCTAGATCTGCTTCCTCTTTTTTTCGTGTTCCTCCCCCAACCCCAGCTTGTCTGGCATGCAACCACCTGGGGTTTCCTGACAGTAGAGGAAAGGAAGCTGCCCTAGTACCTCTTGCCTCTTGTGGGCTCCCATCCTTGCACTTATAGGGGCTGCCCAAGGAATGATGGGCTTGTTTTTGAGATGTTGGCAACGCCTCCTGCTGTGCTGACCTGTCCAGTTCCTGCCCTTTAACTTCTCTAGGGCTTACTTTTGGCTCTGCCGATCTCCTGTACAGTAGTACTAATTGCAGTTTTACTTCCACATATGTTTTTTGTTTTTTTTCCCCCCGTATGTTTTTTTACAGTTGAATTCGCACAGCTTCAAATTCCCTGCCCTACACAACGTACTGTGTTTGAAACCCAATCCAGCTCCCTCTTGTAAGCTTCCCAAAAAGATGTGTATTAATCAAATGTGTAGGCACTGGAGTCAGAAAAGATTCAAGAGCCGGGCATGGTAGTGCACTCCTGTAATCCCAGAACTTGGGAGGCTGAGGCAGGATAGCCTGGGGTTCGAAGCCACCATGGGCTACATGGTAAGTTCACGGACAGACTGAACTACATATAGAGACTCTGTCTCAAACCAAAAACAAAACAAAAGAATTTTTTGTTTTGTTTTTTGGTACCGGTGATCGAACTCGGGACCTTGAGCTTTCGAGGCAGGCGACGGAACCACTGAGCTAAATCTCCGGCCCTAACAAAAGAATTTTTGAAAGAAATAAAAATTTAAAAGCACTGTTGCACATCTACAGGCCATGTGACCTTGGGCCTACTACTGGACTCATATCCTCATTTTCCTCAATTGTACAGTTGTGCAATTGTACAGGGGCTGCGGAGAGATCATGAGATCAGAAACATTACTTGGTGGAGACTATTGGGAAATTACTGCTTGATTTTAAATCCCAGCTCTAACACTTAGAAGCTGTTAACTTTGGGCACATTAAAACAAAACAAAGCTAGGCATGGTGGCACACCCTGTAATCCAGCTAGAGGGAGCCTGAGTCAGAAGAATGGCAAATTGGAGGCCAGCCTGGGCAACATGGCAAGGCACTGTTTCAAAACAAACAAGAAACAATACACAGAACATGTCACACTAATAAATCTTACTTATTAGAAGAAGAAATTGCATTTCTTCTAAGGAGTTGCTGGTGTCCTGGGTCATCTAAACAGCTTCCCTTCTTACACTATATACACTGCAGTGGGGATCGAGCCTCTCTATGCTGCTGCTGGCCCCAATTCTGATTTCCACTGTACACCAGTTTTACAGTTATCTGTTCGGCATCTGACTGTGGCATTCACAGTATGCCCTGAAAACACTAATTGGGTCCACTCTATTGCCTTTACCCACTACAGGGCTAATTGGCCCATCCATTTAGTAAATCTTATTGAGTGTTTACCATATCCCAGCCTCTGGCTTAGGCACTAGGGGCACACTGGTGTGTAGAACAGCCATGAAACCAGGTGCAGTAGCACATGTTTGTAATCCCAGCACTCTGGGAGACTGAGGTATGAGAATCATGAGTTTGAACCCAGCCTCAGCAACTTAGCAACTTGAGACCTTGTCTTAAAATAAAAAATAAAACAGGGCTGGAGATGTAGTTCAGTGAGAAAGCCTTAAGTTTAATCCTCAGTAAAACAAAACAAAACACAAAAACCAGACATGATCTCAATCCTTGTGAAGCCAACAATCTAGTAGCAAAGACAGCCAAAAAGCAAGGACTGTGGATTGAAAAGACATGCTGCAAGGATACAGAACATCTCGGGATAAGGGACAAGGTAGGTGGAGTCACTTAGGTAGGAAGTTCGGGGAAAAACTTTCTGTGGAGGTGCCAAGATCTGAAGGTCAAGAAGGACTTAGCCAAGAATGTTCTAGGTAGAGGGAAAGGGGAAAACCTTAAGATGGAACAGAGGTTGGCGTGGTCAAGAAGCAGAGAAGTGGGTATAGTTGGGGCTTAGTGTAAGGGCAGAGGGTGAGTGGAAATGTCAGCAGGGAAGGCAGGGCTGGTTATATAGGTCTGTAGACTCTGATAAGAATATGGATTTCTTCAAAGAACAGTGTGCAAAATGCAATGAGAAAGAAACCATTGGCAGTCTTAAGTAACATAATTGAATTTTTTTTTTTGGTACCAGGGATCGAACTCGGGACCTTGCACTTGCAAAGCAGGTGGCAGAACCATTGAGCTAAATCCCTGGCCCCAGACAAATCTTTTAAAAATACAAATTCAAGGGCTGAGTTCAATCCCCAGTACCAAAAAAAAAAAAAAAAGAGATTTGTCTGGCTGCTAGGAGGAGAATGCTAAGAGGTCATGCAGGAGGCTATTGCAGCCATCCAGGTGAGAGGTGATGGTTAAAAGTTTGCAGTGGAGAGAAGTGCACAGTTTCAAGATAAAGTTTGGAGGCGGAATCAACAGACATGGGGATAGACCCGATTTGGAAGGTGGTGAGGGAAAAGAAAAAATTACGGTCAGTGGGCCCAGCTGTTTGCATGGCCACATTTTCAGCAAAAGGAAAGACTAGAAGCACAGGTTCCAGTGACAAACCTAGAGTTGTGTTTGACATGTTAAATTCTAGACAACTATGGGACATTCAAAGGAAGAAATCAGCTAGCAGCAGGCTCTGTTCTACAAATCTCATAAAGAAGAGGTTTAGGATGAGGAAAGATTTTTTTGTTTTGCGAAAATTTTTCATTTTTTAAGAAATGGAAAGTAGGCATCTTAATGCACACCTAGCACTATAGGAAGCTGAGTCAGGAGGATTGCAAGTTTGAGCCCAGCTTGAGAGATCTACTACCTTAGCAAGACCCTGTTTCAAAATAAAAAAAGGAAAAAGGGCTGGGGATGTAGCTCAGTGGAAGGCCTTGGGGTCAATCCCCAGTGCAACAATATACAAAAGACAGAGAGAGAGAGATAGAGAGAGAGAGGGAGGGAGGGAGGGAGGGAGGAAAGAAAGGTAGAAGGAGGGAGGCAGAGAGAGAAAGAATGGGGAAGAGGGAGAGAAAAGCTTACTGTGTTGCCCAGGCTGGCCTCAAACTCTTGGGTTTCATCAGTCCTCCTGCCTCAGCCTCCTGAGTATCTGTGACCATAGGTGCATGCTACTACATCTAGCAAAAGTAGTTTTGAGCATATTATCAGCACATATGTGAAATTCAGTGCCCTGAGACTAGATGATGTGACTTTGGAAGCCTAGAGAGGGAAAAGAGCAATGCCCTTCCTGAGCAGGAGAAACTCCACCCAACAGTTAGAGGTCTTGTTAAGGAGGAATCACCCGCAGAGCAGCTGTGAACCACGGACCCTGGAGGAGAGTGGGAGACTCTAGTCAACAGGATGTTCAGCCACTGGGAGGGCAAAGCAAGGACACTGACTGATGTTTCCCGGACTGACCTGAACATAAACCTGTCCAGGTTTGCTGAATGTCTGCCCTGCCAAAACTTGTCCCTTCTTATGCCACCTCCCGTGTCTGTAGCAGCAGCCATCGGGCATCCTGGAGAGAGCAGAGAGAAAAGATTTCCAGCAGTTTTGTTCATGGTAGAAAAAGAAGAGTTTTTAGTTTAGTTTGGTTTGGTTTGGTTTGGTTTGGTTTGGTACCTGGGATTGAACTTGGGTCCTTGCGCTTGCAAGGCAGGCGGCGGAACCACTGAGATAAATCTCCGGCCCTTAGAAGAGTTTTTTTATTAAAGGAAATAAGTGTCCACTGGCAGAATAATGGATGAATTAATGTTACCACATACGGGGCATCGTGACACTTTGGGGGGTGGGGCACAGCTTCACCTGGGTCACCTCTTTCAGAGTGTCATTGCTTGCTTCTGTATCCAATCTCCAGAAAATCTTCACATTAAGAAGGATGGCAAGGGGCCCAGGGATTTAGCTCAGTGGTTCCAACATCTGCATCGAAAGCGCAAGGTCCCAAGTTCGATTCCTGGTGCCAAAAAAAGAAAAAAAGAAAAAAAGAAGGACGGCAAGAAACCAGAGACACTTATAGCTAAATGGATGCATAGTGAGGCCATACTCTTAAGTGAAATAAATAGGACACAGATGTGTAAATACCGAATAGTTTCTCTAGTGTGAGAAACTGAAAGTGTAAATAAGGACTAAAAGGTATAGTAGATAATGTGAAAAAGGAAGAAAAGGTCTAAAGGAGTAGGGGAAGTGGGAGGAGTAGGGGAAAGGAAAGAAGGGAAAGGAAAAATTATGAGAAAAGGAAAAAATGGAAACAAAGTCTGTAAATAGGGAGGGATGGAGGGGGTGAAGGGAGGACAGAGAAATGGGGAAAAAATAAGAACCAAGATACATCATGAAAAGGTACAAGTACCCAATGATGAATGTACCTGTAATGTATACCTGAATTGTACCAATAAACTTAATGAAAAAAAGAAAGAAAGACAGCAGAGGTCCAGAATGGAAGTGGAGGAGCTGATAGAAATTATAACTTACTCTGCTACAGACATAAATTCTCATCCACAAACTGAGCCATAAAACATTTAAAAAACAATTTTATTTCTATTTTATTTCTTCAATTAACATGCACTAAACAGCTCATATTGGGCACAGTGCTGGGCCTTAAGAGATAGAGCATAAAATATGACCA